CTCCGGACTAGGTGCTTTACTCTAAGTCTTCCTACTAATATGACAACGTTGCAAAATCGAAGTCAAATAGCTTATATACAATGAAAGGAGACTGCACTATAAAAAAATTCACGCTATTTTGTTTTGCATACACTCGAATAATAATTTAATTAGGCTAAATTATTAATAACATTTAATAAATTATTTACATTAACACTTTCGCTTCATTAATTCCAAGAGAAGACGCGTAATAATTTATATATCTTTACATGTGTTATCTTATTTAATGTAAATTAAGTAAGGCATTATATAAATGCCCAACCTGATTTGTTTTAAATTATCGCGTCTCTTATAAACATAGGCTCATGCCTAAATCTTCTTGATTAAAAGGAATGCATTCAGTTCATTGGTTATATACGTGTTAGATAAGCAATTAAAACATAAACTAGAGAGAGAAAGATTTCAAGAAGAGATCTTATAATATATAAAAATGCTTGACTTGATCTCAGGGTCAAAATATAGACATATAGACAACAAGATTTCCTTTTGCAATATTATTTGAGATTAATTTAAATAATGCATGTATTGTGAAGAGAGAAACGTAAGGATAAATTATCTAAATCTTACATACAAAACTTTTTTTCGCCAAAATTAACCTGCAGATTTATTTTCTGTGTTTCATTACATTATTTAAAGATGAACAAGGGGTCTACCTTTGAGCTATGGCGAATTTCTAAATACGCAAGATATTGGAGCTAACTTATGCCATTACTAAAGCCGCTTCAGTCCATTCAATGGCTGCAAATAATCTGACTACACTCATTATATATTCAACAAAATTAAGACTTTTTTATCAGAAGTCTAGAAATGGTTAACCGTGTCAGAGAAAAAAATAAATTATTTTCATTAATTTATTGGCTAAACTTCATTTTTCAATCTGAATATGCTAACATTTTGTTTTATGGTAATATGAGTGTTTATAAAATCTACGGTTGTTTTATCCGGACATACTCGACTTTATATTCGTTTACCATTATTTTTCATCAATATTTCACTCCCCCCCTTTTGAATAAATCTCACATGTTTTTACTGTTAGATAAAGAAAGTCAAAAAGAGATTATCTTTTAATCAATTAGTCAAAACTTCAAACTAAAAATTCTTAATATTACGGCATGTGTATAATAATTAACTTCTTTTCTCACAGCAAGTAGCAAAACTTTATCATCTAAGGATTAGCACAAATAAAAAGTTATAGACTTAGAATCTTGGATAAAGAGCAAGAGATGCGGCGGTAAACAGAGACAAATTGCTAACAGTAGGTGGGTTTGATAATATCTGCGGTCTATAAAGTAATGGCTTGATAATTAAATTGTATCATTGCCCATGCCGAATAGTAAAAAAGGGATTTACAGCGTCAAGTTACTTTTCGATCCAGCTTGAGAATCCAGACTTTTGGGGCATGTTTAGTTAAGCGAGAAAATACGTGTATCAAAGGCTCTAATTATAGTGTATAGCATAGCGCTTTGAGTAGCAATGATATAGGGGCAGTGTCCGATTGAAATCACGGAACCATAGAGCTGAGAGATGGATCCTATTGGTCAAAAAGAAGACTTTGATACTGCATGGATGAGGAAAATTGCGCATAGAGGGTCGGACTGGGCCAATACTCTAAGCACTTTTTGCGAGAATTAGCAAACTAGGGGGGAGTAAAAATTATTCTCATTAAAATGGCTCCAAAGGACACAGCTGAATAAGGTTTCGTATTTGAGGTGAGCTTCGAGACTACCAGTAAATCAGTAATATGAGATGCTTTCACCCTATTTTGTTCAAGATGATGAAGGAATTGTAGTAGAACTTTCCCACAATGATATGAGTAGAGCTGACGTTTTCATTGAGTTTCACATGGCCTTGCATTCCTAAAAGTTGTTATCATCCAGGATAGACTGCCGTTTTGACCTCGCATCGGTCTTATCAACGCCGCCAGCGTGAGTCGAACCGTGAGAGTGCAGAATGTGAGCTTGACACGTTAACTTCTCGACAAAATTGCCATTAGTGCCCTTGAGTCACAGGGCAGCTGTGAATTTCAAGGAAGGCCAGGCCTTTTGTCATATCATATTCTTTGGTGGCATTGTCAATTAAGCAAACGTATATTTGCTATAACCATCGAATACGTTACTCATTTTTCTATTTTGAGTAGAGTTTCGAGACTAGGTTTAACTATGCAATTGGTTAAATGATCGACTTCAATGGTCTCTTCGAAGAGTTATAGTGTAGTGGTAAGAATGGCAAATTTCTATAAAAATACTGACTACGATGGCGGTAAAACGTTTTAGAATGTACCAAGTTCACGGTCCGATGCCGGAAATTATCATGGGTACTGTAAACTCTGGACAATTTGTGTTGCTGTGGGCCCCATAACACTCGACCTAGTTGCGTAAACGAGGTTAAAACATTCTATAGAACGAAGGAGACCACGACCATACTAAAGGTCAAACTATCTTTGTCTTTATACTTTTATATATTTCTGTCTCTGACAATGACAAAATCGGAACTACAGTTCACCTTGGACAAAAATACTTATGTGAAGTAGTTCATAGGGTTTTCAAAAAATACCAGTCTTTAATTCTTTTATTGAGGAAATATCATCACTAGCTTTTCTGGAAATTCATTGTATTTATAAAACAACTTAAAAGATATGATTGCCACCTCGTTTAGAAATTATGCATCTAATTGCATCCTTGTATTTACATAAATTACCTAACCCAAATTGACATGGATAATATTAGACTTACATATAAATTAATATATTTACAAAGACTTTTCTGATTTTATGATCGAATTTGGAATACTATAGTGTATTACATATTATAAAGTTGAAAGTTCATTTAAAATAAGTGAAAAAAAACATTTCAAGGCATACACAAGCTTTGGGAATATTTGATTGATCTCTGTAGCTTTTAGAAGCTTCTTCCCGTCTTCAAATCATAGAAATATAGAAAATCATCGCTCATTGTATGAAAGGCACTAGAATAAAATGTAAAGTTTTTAGTTTAAATAGTACACTTTAATAGGATTTACAACGGTAAATTAGTCAGCATACTTCATTAGAGTTGAATTTGGTGAAAGTTTTAATGTAATTTAAAGTCTCTATTAAAAGTCGTCCTGGCCCTCCGTTGCACCACGCTCTAGTTCACAGGGTCGAATAAACTCTTGTCCACGTTCATGAAACCATAGATTCATGACCCACTTAGAGCCTGCCAAAACTGGACAGGCGGCGTGCCGTGTACGTAAATCTCCATCTCCGTTGGGTAAAAGATTCCACCAAAATGCAGCTGCTCCTCTTTTTGGCCATATGCGTGCACCTAGACGCGTAAATGCAGTTGCTCCACCGGCTGTTATATCTGTTAACTGTTGAATAAATAGAAACCAAAATTAATAATGAAAAATAATATAGTTTGACTGCTTATCTGTGAAAACGAATACCTAAATCAGTAGCAAAACGTCGAAAATATTGATGAAAGTTAAAAAGAATGACAAATGGATGCTAGAAATCGAAATCATCCATTTAAGTTCTAGCTGTAACCCATGTAATGAAATAAATAGGATAAGATAGGTAAAATTATTTCTTATAGTTCTTTTTACACTAGAGCGCCAATTTACGAATAACGATATCGTATGTTCAAGAAATATAGAGAGTCCTTCATAATTGCTGCCTATAGATCTTATAAACTATAACTCATTATCAAAATAGGAAATTAAATTCATAATTATCATATA